CCGATGAATGGTTCTACGTTTCCTCCATTTGTTGAGACATGATTGCAGAGTAAGATAAGTACGCCCCATGACCTGGTGCGCGTTTTGTTAAAACGATAAATGATTAAGCATGTGGGCCTAACGTGCAATATCTGTGTAGTTAGATGCCAACTGTACAGTGTATATATACATATCTGTCATATGGCCACACAACGACTCGTACGGGGTATCTATGGTACGGTACATATACACATTTGTATAATCTACAACGACATTCACTAGTAGTTTTAGTTATAAGCTATCTTTGCATAATTGGACTTCGTTGGACAGGACCCTCCGTCCGTTCAGTCTGTTCATCTTGTCGTACATGTTTGGTTCGTACTCCCTCCGTCTCATAATATAAAAACGTTTTTGACACTAGTGTAGTATTAAAAACGTTCTTATATTTTAGGAAAGAGAGAGTAGGAAACTAAGAGCAATTCTAGCAGACCCCGCAAAAAACTCCACCCCGTAAAATAACCGTCAAAATGCAGATAGGCGCGGAAAATCCCGCCCGAACAGACCCCGCAAACGCAGCAGGCCCGCAAATTTTTTTTGAGGGGCGCGCCAAAACCTCGGCCCCAACCCGCGAATACGCGGGTTGCCCCCTCCCGGCTTATCGGTGCCCTGCATATAGCAGGAGCGGTTGGTGGGGAGGACAATTCAGCCTGCGCTTTTCCCCACCAACCACCTCCCCTCTCCCCCTCGCCCCGTCGTCAGGCCGCTTCCCAAGATTCTGGTGAAAGTAGCCGGCGGGAGCACGCCGACAGGCCGCCACACGCACGAGATTGCCCTCCGTCCCCCTCCTCCTGCGTCGGCCGTCCGGGAAGTTGCGGCTCCGCGGCCCTTCATCGTGGGCGGCCAGATTTGGCTTTTCCGGCCGCCGGTGGCTGCTCCAAGTGATGGAATTGTCGGGAGCATCTCGGGCAGCCCCGGCAAAGTCGCATCGCCGCATGCAGGTGTAGGTTCGTCCTCTCGCCGCTGCCGACGGTTTGCGGGCATGGATTCAGCCGGCCATCCGCCAGGCTCGGCGCTCGCGCATAGGATCTATGGCTCGCCGAATCCGGTCATACAGTGTGACGACTGCACGCGGACAGTGCTACGGCTAACTTCGGGCACGCCGAAGCACCCCGGATGGGTGTTCTTCAAATGCGAAAACGACGGGGGTACGTTCTGTTTTCATTCGGCTCATTTCGATAGCTCATTCTTTGGTTCAATTGCATTAGCTCATTTCAAACATCATCATGCGTGTAGGAAGATAGATGCTCATTTTGGTTTTGGGAACGCGAATACATTGATTTATTGATAGAAAGAAACTTAATAGACGTTCGTGCATTCCTTAGTACAATCGAAGTCAATGAAGCGCCTGCATGTGCAACTAGAGGGGAAGCAACATTTACTTCTTTAGAACCAAAGAAGAAGAATGAAGAACACAAGATCAAGAATCCGCAGATCAACAATGGGTGCATGGAGAATATATTATTTCAACTAGTGGGAGCAGTTATGAAAGTTGGAAATCTTCTAAAATGCATAATTGTGGTTCTTGTTTTCTTTGTTCTTGCTATCCTAGCAAAGATTTGGTGATGTCCTATGTATCCAATGTTGTTGAAAAAGCAAAGAAATGCATTATGTTGTGTCAAATTGAGGTGCAAATTTAGGTTTTGCGGGCCGGGGGGAGCGGCGCCAGACCATACCCCGCAAAGCCGACCCGTAAAAGAGGATATTCGCGGAAGATGCTCTTTTAAGGGTCAGCTTTGTGGGGTCTGCCTCTGCGGCCGTTCGCACCGGCCTGCAAAACCGTTTTTTCCGCAAACTGTAAACGCGTTTTGCGGGTCGACGGGATGCGGGGTCAGCTAGAGATGCTCTAAGGACAGTACAATGCTGCTATCTGTACAATGCCAACAGAAAGGTTGTTGAGATGAAAGGAAAAGAATCGGAAAATTAGGTTTGATATCTCTTAGAAAAATGACAATCTTCCACTAAAAAGAAGATATGGTATGTTTCTTCGTTACACGAGTTGTCTTCTCTCAACCACACATCATCTTCATGTAAAATTTCAATTATATCATTAATTTAGAAACATACAAACGTTAATTGTTAGAGATAATAGTAAGATAATCCATTGTATATTTAAATATTTTTCTCTTCTTTAAATGACATAGAATAATTCAAAAAATCATCATGTCAGCCATTTTAGATGTCCTAAGTCCCTAACAAATAAGTTGCTCTTGCTTTTGTTTACTAATTAATGGTTCTGCACCTCTGCTTAAAGTTCAAGAACTCCACAAAAAACACGGGCAAGCATGGCCTACTGGTGGGGGTGGCGCGCGGCAGCGGTGGAAGTGACGGTGTTGTGCACTTGGCGGCGACGGCTCCGTCAGATCCGGTCTGGCAGGCTCGTGGGCGTTGGGCGGCGCGGGGGCGGGCTGTGACCTGGTGGGGTCGTGGCTATGGTCGTGGTCCTCGGCGGCGAGCCAGCTGATACTGCCGGTGGCGGTGGTGCCGGCCAGATCATCTTGGATCTGGCCCATGGCCACCGGTTGGCAGCTCGGAGCTGGCCCTCGGGGTCCCGGTGTGGATGTGGGCTGCCACGGTGTGGTGGTGGCTCATGGCGGTGGTCCGGGTCGTTCCTCGGTGGCTGCTGGTCTTCTTCGGCGGCGGCCGTTGGTAAGTGGCTCGCGAGGTGGCGGGTCGGTTGCGGCGTCGGATGGCTTGTTCGGCGTCGGCTTGCTCGTAATCGGTCTGTGTCGGCCTTCGATCCTTCTCCTCGTCGTCCGGCCGTTACTCTTGTCGGAGGGTTGGTTTTCTCCCAGCTGCGACCCATCGCTCGTTTTGCGCCCGGTGCGGCAGGACCGAGCTCGTCTCGCGCATGGTGTAGCCGGACCGAGTCCGTCTCGCGCATGGTGCAGCAGGACCATCCTCGTCTCGCTCACAGTGTTGTAGGACTGAGCTCGTCTTGCGCCCAGTGCCGCAGCACGGGTCGATGGAAGCTAGGCGCTGGGGTCGCCCAGGGGTGCGAAAAGGTGGAACCTTTCCGCTTGTCTCTTTTGTTG